AGAAAAGTTTGTATGGCCTCAAGCAAGCCCTGTGGCAATGGTACAAAAAATTTGACTCTTTTATGATGAATAATGGTTTTTCTAAAACCACTTCGGATCATTGTGTGTTTGTGAAAAATTTTTCGGATGGTAAATTTTTTATTCTTTTGCTTTATGTTGATGATATGTTAATTGTGGGTCAAGATTCTACCACGATTAACATGTTGAAATTGGAGTTGAGCAAGTCTTTTGCTATGAAAGATTTGGGACCGGCAAAGCAAATTCTTGGTATGAAAATTGTTCGTGATCGCAAAGAGGGGCTGATTTGGTTGTCTCAAGAAAGCTACATTGAGAAAGTTCTTAAAAGGTTCAACATGAATAAAGAAAAACCGATTGGTTGTCCACTTGCAGGTCACTTCAAGCTTAGTTCGAATCAATGCCCTACAAGTGAGAAAGACAAAGAAGAGATGTTGAAAGTTCCTTATGCTTCAGCAATTGGTTCTTTGATGTATGCCATGGTTTGTACAAGGCCGGATATTGCTTACGCTGTTGGTGTGGTGAGTCGTTTTCTCTCTAATCCGGGTAAAGAACATTGGGCAGCGGTAAAATGGATTCTAAGGTATCTTCGAGGGACTTCCAAGGTGTGTTTGTGTTTTGGGGATGGTAAGCCGATGCTTGATGGGTTCACAGATTCTGACATGGCCGGTGATATTGATTCTAGGAAATCTACTTCGGGGTATTTGATGACTTTTGCAGGGGGAGCTGTGGCATGGCAATCTAAATTACAAAAATGTGTTGCTCTCTCAACTACCGAAGCTGAATTTATTGCCATTACAGAAGCTTGTAAAGAAGAGTTATGGTTGAAGAAATTTTTGCAAGAGTTGGGTTTGAAGCAAAAAAAGTATGTGCTTTATTGTGATAGTCAAAGTGCTATTCACTTGAGTAAAAATTCTATTTTTCATTCGAGATCGAAACACATTGATGTGAGATACCATTGGATTCGTGATGTGTTAGATTCGAAATTGTTACAACTCGAAAAGGTTCACACAGATGATAATATTTCAGATATATTGACAAAGACTTTGTCGAGGGACAAATATTTAAAGCGTCGAACTTTGGTGGGTATGATTGATTTCTCCACTTAAGTCGGTAGGGGGAGAATTGTTGGGTATACCTCCTTATTGGAGTGTGGGACCCAATTGGTTTTGGAAAAAAGAGTTTAATTTGGTTTAGTATTAATTATAATATATTTTTTTATATTATATTTGATTTGTGGAGACCCAATCCAATTTGGAAACAACTAAGATTTGATAATAAACCCTAGATTATCTATATTTTAGGGTTTTGTTTTTGCTCATTCCCATGTGTGAAGAAAAAAATGGCAGTGGCAGTTTGGTGCCCATTAATCAACTTGGTGTTGTTTTGGTATTCTTGATTTGACTTGGTCAATTAAGAATTGGTGCTTTGATTTGTGAAGCAGTTTGGTTCAATTTTCGGTTCTGATTTGGTTCGTTATTTTGGGTCTTCTTCAACTCTGATTCTGAAGATTTTGGTTCATCTATTTGGTGAGGTCTTTCCTCTTGTTTATTTGTGATTATTTGGAATTCACCTAAGGGTGGTTTGTGAGACTATTCCTGTCTCGTTTGTAATCATTTGGAAACTTATTTGGTTGATAGTGGAATCAGATTTCGATCCCGTGGACGTACCTCACATTGAGGGAACCACGTAAAAATTCTTGTGTTGCTTTTGATTTAATTTTTCTGCATTAGTTTTTATTCCCATTGATTGATTTACTAGTGGGGAATCACATATTTTCCCTAACATATTTAGGCATAAATTATGAATTATTGGGAACTAATAAGTAAGAAATGACATGAGTAATTGAATTAGAAAAGAGAAGATAAGTTATTTGATTCGAACAATGTGTTTCAATGTGTATGGTTATGTGAATGTGTAGGTTGGAATGTTGAGGAAGAACATCAAACTGTTCAAGGTGAGTAATGTCTTTGTAACAATATTTTTATGCAATCTATTTTGAAATTGGCTTTGTTAGACGACGAATTATGAAATCTATACTTTGTTACGAGATATTTCATTTGATAAGTATTTTCTAAAATGATGAGATATGCTATGTACTTCTGTCATGATTATGATGTAATTGATATGTTATGAAACTCCAAATTGTGTACGATATGATAAGTTTTTCCGATTAAGTAATTTTGAGACACTAAATTATGCCATGAAATTCCAAAATGAATACAATGTGATAATCTTTCTGAAAATGGGAATTTGCTAAAGAATGAATAAGTTCCCTTTTGAAATATCAATTATTATAACAACTGGGGAAATGTACTTGATCTCTGATGACTTCCGTTTTATTTTTCATTCATCTTGGACATTCTGTACAAGTTATTGATTTGTTGTAAACGTTCTGTATGATGTCAATTTTTAGTGATCGTTCCGCATAAGCTCGTCCAATGTGGACGTTCTATATCAAGTCGTCCAAAGTGGGTGTTCTGCATAAGTCATCCAAAGTAGGCGTTCCGAATGATGTCATCCAATATGGGTTTTCCATATGAAGTCATTCAATGTGGGCGTTCCATAAAATGTCGCCCAATGTGGCATTCGTCTAATGAGGGCGTTCTGAATGCTCCGTTCCATTGTGAACGTTTTGTATGATAATCTGTCAAGTTTTGATAAGGCTTTTGGACATGTACCACAATATGTGAAATAGCATGAAAGGTTTGAAAAAGGTTTGCTAAAATATATTTGTTATTACGTGTTTCTGAAACATGCTTAAATTATGTCAAGTGCAATATATGGTTTTGAAAAGATATGGAACTCATCCATTTAACCCCTTTACTCAGAGATTACTCATTGGGCTTCCAGCTCACTCTGTTTATATATATGTATGTAGGTGAACATCAAGTAATTCAGTATTAGAAACTACTTTGGAGTCAACCCCTTATTGTGAAGCCACCCAAGATATGCCTCCGCATCGAGGCCTTAACTTTTGTTTTGGCCAAGCTTGCGAAGCTTTGGTTTTGTATAATTTGTTATGTTATAGTTTTGATATTGGGTTATGTATACTTGATGAATGATTGTAAATATTATATGCATAGTGTGAGATATGTTATGTACATTTCTGTTCATGTCATGTAAGCACAACTCAATAGACAAATTTAGTAAATATTATATTATGATTTGATTTTGTCTTTGAGGCCAAAGCTAATTTGAGATTATTGGCAGGTCGTGACCTAAACCTCTAGGGGCGGGTTTGGGTCATGACACATATCCCTTATTTGACTCTGCAAGAAAAATCAAAGTCAGTTATCACCCCTAACCTAGGTAGGTCGAGAGGACCCTCCGACGATCAAGTTAGTATATTGATCAACCATGTATCTTATCTAGGGGTGGGTTTGGGTCATGACACATATTCCTTATTCGACTCTGCAAGAAAAATCAAAGTCAGTTATCACCCCTGACCTAGGTAGGTCGAGAGGACCCTCCAACGATCAAGTTAGTATATTGATCAACCATGTATGTAAGATAGGGATTGACTGTATTAAATGGGTTTCTTGAGTTACCTTTTTTTTGGGTAAGTATTTCTTGGGTTACCTTTGTGTATCTTTTGTGCTTTACCTACTTCCCTTCTTATAACTGTCTGGCTCTCATCGTGATCATCCGTTTCCCTTTTGATCGGTGGGTTATGCCTTTATCAGAGGTCACTTGGGCTAGTTGCCTACTTTTTTGTTATTGTTCGTCAGATCCATGCTCATCGGATGGTGAAAATGATGTCAGATCATAATGGCCAAGCAACAATGATTCATCCCACTAAAAACATCACCACTAATAGCACTAATGCATTAAAAAAATAAAAAAAAAATTACAACTCCAAAACCAAAACATCACATCATTCATGACGGGACCCACTGCCACCTAATTAGTGGAAGCACTAATTAGTGCTCCCAAGCATTTTTCAATGGCCAAGTTGCATCGCATGATGATCATTGGATGGAGAATGATCAGACAACTCTCTTGTCTGCTAGCTTCAGTCTGTTCCATAGTTCTTCTGTTATTAACTTTTATCCATTGGATTAGGACTTGATCTAACAATCCTTGTTAGTTCTAATGATATCATTCTAGAAGAATATCATTTATCTTCAGAACCTCATCAGTGTGATGCTTTAACAAATATCACGTGCCATCACCAAATTAATAATCATGTTTGAATATCTTAAGTCAAACTAACCATTTTAGTATGTGAACTATTTAAAATAAACAAAAATATATAGAACTAAATAGTTAGAAAGCTTTGAGGAAAAAAATATTCAAGAAAAAAGAATTTTGGAATATTTAAAATTTTTACTAATTGGAATTAGTGTTAATTAAGTGTGATTAGTAAACCTTAATTGGGATTAATTAGGTTAAATGGGATTAAGTATAAACCTCAATTAGTTAGTCCTAACAGCATCTCCAATGGTATTTGTTATAATATCATTGTCATTGCTATAATTTGGCAATGAATAGTAGTAATTTGCCAAATTATAGCAATGGTGCTCCAATGGTACACATGTTATTTTGGCAAATCTCAACCAATTTTTCCTCCAAATTTATAAGTGTTGTTTGGATATAGGTTTTTTAGTGATTTTTTTTGTTTATTTATTTTTTAATCTTTTGTGACTTTTTTTTAACTGTTTGTAAAATAAAAAAAAAATTATATATTTACATTATACCCGACTAGACAAATATAAAAAAAGAAAAAAAATTAAAAAAAAAATTTAAATATAATTCACCTCACCAAAAAACAACCACTATATATAAAAAAAATACTATTGTATTTATAACCGTTGTTCTTTCTGTTTTGCAATTTTTCTTTTAATTTTTTATAGGAAAAAAAGAGCACACCGGTCATAGTGCATTCCAAGACACCATCCACACCATTGATTTTTTCTCAATGCAACGGCTAATGTGAGAATTCTGGAATCATTAGTTGATTTATCAAGAAAACCCACCATTCTCTTTCTTATCTTCATTTTCATCAAACTCAATCGGCTGAGCATCTGCATCTCTCTCTCTCTCTCTCTCTCTGCATGTTCATCCATCTCTCCATCTTTAGTAAACCAATCGGCTGATCAAATCAAGAGCCTATGATGAGCCAATCGGTTGTTCATCCATCTTTTCCATCTTCATTTTTTAAGTTACCCCTCTCTCTCTTTCTCTCTCTCTCCATGTTGATTTTTATTTTTATTTTTTATTGTTGATGTTGTTGATCAAGTCCAAAGCCTATGATTAAGGCAGAGCTACAAAGATCTACCTCTGAGTCTAGACAAACCCATTTCCCTTTAGATCTGTGTCTGTTTCAGACCAAATTAGTTGAAAAAAATACAACAGATACAGACCAAATATGTCATCAATCATGCTAGAATCCAGGTATTTATCTTCTAAATTCGAACTAGATTGCTTCAGAAATTTATATAAATTTGTGAAATTTAGGTTGACTGATAATTCTGAAATTTGTTATTGACTAAACATTCCAAATATTTGTGAAATTTGTGAAACAAATTCTTGACAGATCATTATGAAATTTGTGAAATTTGTGTTTGGGAAATGCAGAAATTGGTGAAATTTATTTTGAGAATTTTTTTTTGAAGAAACAGATGCTATAATAAATAAATGAATTGTGTTTGAAAAAAAAATATTAGTGAATTTTGTTTTTAAAAAAAAGAACTTCAAACATTTTGGGATTTTTTTGGAAGAAGATGAATTAAGCTTTAGAGCCAAAATCAGTTATTTTTTATGATGTGGCATGTTTGGCAAATGCCATTTCTGTTGTCAAATTTGACAACAGAAATAGCATTTGCTATGTTTAGAAGGAGGAATAGCAGGCCATTGGAGACCTCTTTTTTTTTCACTCTTGCCTAATTATAGCTTTGACAGCTCCTTTGGCAGCACCATTGAAGATGCTCTAACCTAGATTGGTTAAGCTAAGTAATCAAGATTAGTGAATTAATTAACCTAGTAACCCTATGCAGCTTGTGCCCTACCATGCCAGATAAAATCTCTTGTTCTAATCAAACAAATAGAAGAAAGACCTGGAGAAGAGAGAACCGACAGAGAGAAAGAGAGAACAAAGAGAGAAAAGGGAGAAGAAAGAAGATAAAGAAGAGAGAAAAGAGGGAGGGCTCAAGAATTTCAACAAATTCAACCTAAAAAGTGTTCCAAGGTAAGATTCCTAACTTAATCTTTGTAGAAAAGCTTTCTTTTACTCAAGATTAAGAATAAATTAGGATTAATTTGAGTTAGAAACAAAGTTATAGAGGAAGAAAATAGAAAAGAAATGGGTGGGATGAAGAACAAGCTAGGTGCCTCTGATTCATGCTAATTTCATCTAGGTTTTGATGTTTTTGATGTATTAGAGGCTCTATGTTCATGTATTTATAGGATTTCTAAGAGTTTTGAAGACTTGATTCATGTTTTGAATGGGTGGAAGTGAGAATTAGAATAGAAAAAAAAAAAAAATAGAACTCATGAATTCCTTAAGAAAAACATATGTTTTGATCTTTACATCTTCAAACTAATTATATTTTGAGATTGATGCCTTGAAAAGGATGATGATTTCATAAAAATTTCAAAAGTTATATGAGCCTAAAATCATATTTTGAAACCTTGAAAAGAAAGGGAAAAAGATAAGAAAAGAGTGAGATTTTCGGACCAAAACAGGGGTTCTAGAACAGCACTTTCCGCGCGTGCGGAACCCATCCCCACACGTACGGCCCCCTTGTTTCAACCCAACTTCAAATAGGCATATCTCTCTCATCCGGACTACGTTTTAGGTGATTCTTGAGCCTAAATTCAAGCCTCGGGAGTCTAGTTTATAGAGGTTGTAGTCGCACATCCAAATTCTACATACACAAATAGAGATGCTCAAATTAGTGAAAGCTGTTCATTTTCTCTCTAACCATTTCATGTTAATTCCTCTCCTAACTTAGTTTCCTTTCATTTCTTGCTATTTCCTTAAACCTTAATTATGTAAAAATTACATTTTCAATGAAAAACAAATGAAATTGGTTTAGGAAACCTAAGGCTTTTCAATATGCATATTTAGCACACGATCAATACTTGAATTGAGCTTAGAAAGATTAGGAATCATTAATATAAGTCATGAACATTTAGGGCCATCCAAAGTACATCTTTGGCACATGCTTTGTACATGATTCACATGTAGAAAAGATTAGCATTAAACACTTGAGAGAAATTTAGGGAAACATCTAACCAAGTTTAGGCACTCAATTTGTCATGTTTATACAAATAAGCTGGGTCATAGCCAAGCCTTGATCAATTTAGAAAAGAAGAGTAAAAAACAATAGACATGATTAGAACACGTGAATTAAGATTAAGACTTGCAAGTTGAATTGAATTTCAATGCTTGTTCTTGTTTGGTGTAGGTCAGACTATCGGAAAACATTATCAAAACCAAGCCCACTGTGAGTAGTAGTATAGTAAAGTTATGTTCTTAAAGCTATGATTCAAAATGCAAACATATGATATTTTTAAGAGATTATATTATTGGTTTGTTATAAATGAACACCATACACTTTTGTATCTAGTAATGCGATGACATCTTGAATTCTGCTAGTTATTGGGAAACAAGCCAATAACTTCTGCTAGTTATTGGGAATCATGCCAATAACTTATGTACTAATTGAGCTCTTTTCCACCTGTTGTGGATTACTTGCCAAGTTACGAGAATGTCCATCGCAATGTAAATGCATGCAAGTTATGTTTTGTTAGCATATGAAAATTATTCTATGTTCAAAATGATTGTATTTGGTTTTAATGAAAATTTTCTTGGTGTTTTTTCATTAACCACTTTACTATATTGCTATTTATTTGGCTTTGGCTCACCTCTTTCATTATATATACGTAGGTGAGCATTTGGGAGATCAAGCTTAAAGTTTTGCTTTCAACAACTTTTGTGAAGCCTTTGGAAATGCCACCCGAGTCGAGGCCCTTGTTGTCTCCTTTGGAAAATAGTTTTGTGTAATCATTTAATTTATAATTTTGGTAATATGAATGCTTGCTTTTGGTGTAATATATTTAATGTGTGTATAAATATGTGTTTGTTATATCATGAATGCACTGCTCAATAGACGATGATATTTCTGTTTTGCTTCCGCTTCAGGTCCCAATATTAAATAAATATTTTTAGATTTGTTCAAAGAGGCCTTAAGTAATCTATGATTACTGGCTGGTCACCTCTCTAACCCTTAGGGGTGGGTTGGGGACGTGACAATGAGCCTAACCTAGGACTCTGTTTTAGGCTAAGACTATTTTCGAGCCCTATGGTGTTTTTTGGCCTTTGTCTTCTTTGGGCTGGGATATGTTGAATGAGCCTAGCCTTATATTTTTCCCTCCGCAATTGCCCTTCTTCAGCTGTCGATCTAATCCATGATTGATAACCGAAGTTGCCAAAGACTTTTGTCGACTTGTTAAAACATTTATTGCTGACATGTATCTTTCCCACACGCAGTGGGTGTGATGACAATGCCAACCGTTACACCATTTTTCGCCATTTTATTATTGACACATTTAATTTGATATATTTCTTACCTTCTTATTACTTCACTTCCACTCCTCCCAAAAGCCTAGATGCGACTCTTCTCTTTCTGTTCTCATTTGAAGTTTCTACCAGTCATTTTTCTTCATTTGTAAGTCTCTCTGTGTGTGTGTGTGTGGGTGGATGGGTAGGTATGTATGTTTTTATCTGTGTTTCTCATATTTACTTTTGCAGTTTTCTTTCTTTCCATTGTAAATCATTCTTTTCCATTCGTATGCCATGAATCGCCTTAGGCACTCGCTAGATACGAATGAGAGTATTCAAGAATTTACGGCTTCATACCATATTCCAAATGATGTTGTCATCCGCCTTCTAGTAGGTGATGATGACGTTGTCAAGGGAACTGAGGTACAGATATGCCTTAGTCCCTTATGGACATAGTCAAGGGGGTTGTACGTTTCTCCTCCCCATTATTTTCTCAAAGAGGTGATGCATTTCCACGGCATCTCTCCATCTTAACTTGCCCCCAGTTTCTTTAGGATAGTGATGGGGGTAATTGCCCTAGACTAGCTCATTGGGGTGAATTTGTGTTTGTTTGAGATTAGATACTGTTATAACTTGGTGTAGACACCCCATTTTAGCTAACCATTAAGACTTAGGCACTTGAAATGCTTCCTGCAAATGAAAGGTATCATAATTTCAACCTTAGAGATGCTTGAAAGTGTTATTACTCTTTTCGTGCAAAAAATTGTTTTTTGCCAAAATTACCGTTTATTGGTTCGTATTGAGGGCCTGTTTTTACCTTAAAAAGTTAGAATTTGGAAATTTCTATTTTACCTAAAATTGTAGCCCTTTGAATTAGTTTTCCAATGACGCTTGATTTGTCTCAATTAGATGTCAGATGAGAAAGATATACCCAAAATATGAGGAGTAGTCAAGGATGTACCATATCCTTGTGTGCACACATCCTTGCGAAGGTAGCCATAAATATAGTTTCGTGCATATGCGCATGTCTTGTGTGTGCGCACATCCCATCAACACTTAGAATTTTTGTATTTTAGTGCAATTTCTTCGAGAGACGCAAGGAGAATGCGATAGGGGAACCCTGGGAGGACTTTAGGTGTTCCCCAAGTATCTTCTAAGCCTATAAATACAATACCTACCCCTCTCTTTCAAGGGGTTGAGCTTTTTGAGAAAAATTGTGAGTTTGTGAGTGAAATTCCTTGCCATCTCTTCTCTCAAACCCTAGGCTCTGAAAATGCACCTTTCCACAGCAACTCTAATAACTAAAAAAATCATGCAAGGCTTGAAGAACTTGAACATAATCAGAACCTAAGCTTGAAGAGAGCAATCAATCAAGAAAACTCACATTTTCTTCGCATGTTCTTTGATTTATTGCAAATCAATGATTAACTCTTCTTTTTCTCTCTATTTCAATAGTTTTTAATCCATATTTTTCAATATTAATCATGCTAGGTTGTTAGTCATAGAATCATGTAGTTCTTTCTTTCTTTCAAGTTTTATTCACTTTCTCACCTATTCTTGCATGTTTTCTTTATTTTTATTAGAATAGCATATTTAGGCTTACATAATCAAGTAGAAATCATGCATTAAGTCAGATTTGAATCATCATATAGATAGTTTGCATTTCCCTCTTTTACTTGTTAGTTAATTTACTTGCATAATCATCAGGCAGTAGCCTCAAATCGAGCTTAGGATCATCATTTGTGTGTTTAGTTGCATGTTTAGGCTCATGGGTATTTTATTTAATCATACTTTGCACGGTATGACGCTTGAAGTGAGTGTCCATGTAAGTCTTCTTGTCTTTTATAGCATGGATGCTTGTTTGGTTGCATTGCTTTTCCATAATCCAAGTTTATGTTGCAAAATTGTTTGTTTCAAATGTTTTATAAACATTGTTTATTTTCGGTTAAGTTTATAGACATCAATCATAAAATCAATTTTTGTTGGAAAGATCATTATTTTCAGAAATATGACTTTATTCTTTAATTAAAAAAAAATGATGTTTATCTTTTATTCAAATCATCTAGTTGATTAGGGTTAGTAAAGGATTAGGGTTAATAATGAAGTTTGTGGAATAATCAATTATTTAATCTCACAAAAGAATAAAAGGTTAATAAAGGCCAATCTCTTGATTGGGCGAGAGGGGGTGCATCAATTAATGATCTTCCTCTCTTGTAATAAGTTCCCAAACTAAGAATATTTGGTTGTGACAGATTAGTGCCTTTATTTAGTTTTCATTGTTAAAGGTTTTTTAGTTTCCTTTAAAAATTAAGTACAACTCTATCGATGTGGGAAAGCGAGTTTGTGGAACATAGTGTGGAAACACGTCTTATACCTAAAAAGCCACGGCTTCTACAGTTGGCGACTCTGTTGAGAAAACTAAGAGAACTTGACTTGAAAACTTTTATTTTATGAGATTAATTGATTAATTTTTCATTCCATTGCATCGTTGTGGGCTTGAAAAAACCTAGGTTCGTTGCTTAATATCTCAGATAGTATTTGCGGATTGTGTTAATGTCAATAAGCAAGCATCAAAATTTGCTATTAGTACCATTTGATCATCTCCTTGCACTCTAAGGTGGCATGAGAGGTGTTATCCTAGGTAGGCAACATAAGAGGAGGGTGAATTGGGTTATTAAAAATAATTTCACAGTATTAAATATAATAATCAAAATATCATAATTTAAATAAACAAAGAACAAAACAATAATAATAAATATAAAAATAAAAGAGATTGGGAGAGAAATCAAACACCACGATTTATAGTGGTTCGGCACACCAGGCCTACATCCACTCCTCAAGCATGCTCCTCGGGAATTTCTTCACTATCAAACGAATTAATACACCACCAAAGCTTCACCACACTTGTGAATTTTACATGTTTTACTCTTATCTGTTGAGCCTCACTTAACAATAAATACCTTTCATTTACAAAATTCTCTCACAAAATAATTAATAAAGATAAAAGGTATTTTAGCCCTCTTGGAGCCTCTGTTATCTCTGAGTAATAACTTTGTAAAACTATGTTCAACTATAAGTATTTTCTGAATGATATATGATGATCTGTTTCTGAAATACTTTTTTTTGTATGAATGAATGGTTGTCCAATGTTTCTGAAATGTATTCGTGGCATTCTTAGCTTCAAATGACATCCGTTATCTATTCTGTTACGTCCTAATTATGGCTCAACTGTACGTCTCATGAGCCAACTGTTATGGATCCTTCTGTATACGTCCCATTTATGGGCCAACTGTACGTCTTATAAGCCAACTGTACCGTCTCCATGCACGTGAGTCAACTGTATGCCTTTCTGGCCGTCTCTTTATGGGTCAACTGCATGTCTTTATGGCCGTCCTTTTATGGGTTAACTGTTTCTGCTAGTGCTAATGAATGTGCCACGTATGATTAACTACAAGTTCTAATTAAGAATATGATTCTGAAACTGTATCTGTTATGTACTATGATTTCTAAACATAATTACGAATTCATTTCTAACAACTATTGAATTCTATTTTCTGTAACTGTTATGGACAACATTCATTAAACCTCTTTACTCTGTTATTATTCACTGGGCTCTAGCTCATTATTTATTTTATGTATGTAGGTAAGCAGATACGTGACCAGGCCCAGAGTTGACGGCCTATGTTTCTGTTTTATCAACCAACTACCGTGCCTCCTGAGAAGGTTCCTTTGAAAGGATTATGTCAAGGCTTTAGTTGAGCTTGTTTTGTATATCTATACTTGGGCTAAGTACCCTTTGACCCTATCTGTGTAATTGAGTGACGTAAGACTAATGTATTTTTGACGTCACATCTGTATATATATAAGTTTGTTTTGAAAATCTCTGTCCCATGTATGTCTGCAGAGCTCTATGGACTATGTTAATTTTGTATATTTGTTTCCACAGCCCCTATCTTATGTTATCCTGTTCAGAGGCCTTTGGTAATCCAAGAATTACTGACTGGTTACGACGCTAAATCCATAGGAGCGAGTATGGATCGTGACAACCGAGGTTGGTGATAAAGCTTTGTATAGATATGAACTTGTACAAGAGACAACTGAAAAGATAAAGATCATCCAACAGAGGCTTAAGACTGCGCAGAGCTGAAAGAAAAGTTATGTTGATCAGAGAATAAGGGATTTGAAATATGAAATGGGAAATCACATGTTCATTTGGGTGGCACCAATGAAAGGGCAAACACGTTTTGGCAGAAATAAAAGTTAACTCTACGTTACATTGGGCCGTTTCAGATTTTAGAATGACTTAGCCCTGTTGCTTACCGTATTGCTTTACCATCAGGAATGGAGCAAACACACAACATTTTCATGTATCAATGCTTTGTGGGTATCTTAGAGATCTGTTTCATAAATTGATTACCATTGAATAGCCTTAGATGATGATACGAGATATGAGGAATGGCCAGTATGGATCCCTGATCGGCAAGTAAAGCAACTAAGTAACAAATCTACCCCAATTGTGAAAGTAGAATGGAAGGAACACTATAGGAAAGAGGCTACATGGGAAGAAAAAAAAAAGAAGAAGAAATGCAACAACAGTACCCATATCTAATTCCAAATGGAGGTAACTTAAGTTTGGAGGACCAAACTACTTCTTAAGGGGGGAGATTGTAACGACCTTGACCTCTGTATTATTTTATATAGTATTTGATTGGGCATAAATTGCATAATTATGTGTTTATTATAAACTTATTTGTTTGTATGTGAATTATTTGTTTAATTGTCGACTTAGAATTCGAAATTGAAAGCCCAAACGACTTTAGAAACCAAAATTGGTTAATTCAATAGGCTAGTTGGAATTTCATAATCATATGGTAATTTTGATTAAAATTTGATTTGGATCAGATAATCATAATTGATTAGATTTAAGCCCACTTGATTAGCCTTAACCATAGGTGATTAGTGACACCTTAACCACCCTATATATATTTGTTAAACATGCTTAGACTCAATTTTACATCAAGCTTGTGCTAAAAATAAAGAGATAGAGAGAGAATTCAATACCTTAGAGAGAGAGAAGAATAATTCAAGAGAAACAAATGGAGATTGTATAGGTTTAGTTTAACTAAGGCCAAATTCAAGCTCTAGGTGGTCAACTGAGGTCTATCGTCAGTACCAGCCCACTGTGAGTAGTACTTTTGTAAAGATATGTTGTTAAAATGTTTTGGTTACCGCAAGTTCATTATTTTGAAATGCTATTCCGTTACAATGAATGATTATTTCCTTCGAAGTGTAATTGTGGCATCCTTAGTGTAGCCCTCGCCTGGGCTACCAATACCATGGCCTACAGCCCTCACCCAGGGATAACAATACTGTGGCCCATCATTACAGAGATCTCTTATGTAGACCCAAGGGGTCCCTATGTATATTAGACTTATATGGTCCCATCGTGCACTATTAGATGTACCACATATGAATATGATTTGTGAACTTCGATATAACAAGTAATTACATATGATATGATTCGAACTCATGTGATATGATTTTATACAATGATAGACATCATTCACTTAACCTCTTTATGCTAGTATTACTCACTTGGCTTTAGCTTACCCCCTTCCCCTATATATATGTCGGTGAGCAAATGGAACGTCAATCATAAGGAAACCTTGGGAGTCCACCCTTTTGTTAGCCTTTTGGAGTGCCTCCGTAATGGGGCGAACTTGGTCTCATGCGAAGCCAAGTGTGTTAACCTTGTGAATCATGGAACTTGTTTTGTTTATTTTGTTTCTTTGTTTAGTTCTTTTGTTTTGGAACATAAATGGATGGACAATCAATATAAGTGTCAAGATGCTATAATGTACTTTTGTATCTACATCTATGAAGGAGTTGCGGTTTAAATTTGTTTACTTTTCATGTATGCACCGCTCCATGGACATGGTTGTATTTTAATATTGCTTCCACAATGCCCCTTTATTATTATATATCAAATTTGTCTGTGAGGAAGGAGGTAATCTGGGATTACTGGTTGGTTACGGCCTAAACCTTTAGGGGTGGGTTAGGGTCGTGACACAAGGATTTCAAGGCATTTCTCGCATTCTTCAGTTTAATCTTCAAACAGTGAGTAAGTACTTACTTTTCTATATTTTCAATAGCATTCAATCTTGTTTTACTCATGTAATCATAATTAGGGTGTTAGTATAGCATAAAGCATCATGTAGGTTTGCTAACTTGCATGTTTTTGCTTTATTTTTGCATGCTTGTGTGAGTTATATAAACAACATATTTAGGTTAGATTAATCATCATGTGATCATGCATATAGCCTGGTTTAAACATCATTGTATACTCAGCATGTTTAGATTTTGTATATGTTAGTTGCTTTTTGTGCATGAAATTATGATAACAGCCTTAAACCAGGCTTAGGTTTCCATTATGTATGTATAATAGCATGATTAGGTTATTATATCATTGTCGAGAATGATAAATGGAATGATGAGCTACAAAATCAATTAGGGGTAATTGTTGATTTTCCTTCGGATGAGTCATTTGAACTAGGGACAATCATTGAATGCACTTTGGAGGAATCTTCATAACTAGGGACAATTGTTGAATGCACCTTAGAGGGACTTTCTGAACAAGGGGCACATGGATGAAGTTTGAAATGATGACACCTTAAACCAATTGATGCTTGTCTCAAATTCTACCAATGGACTTGAAAAATAGAACTCTTTTCTGTTTGAGATAATAATAATGCTATTTTGTTAAAATTTGAGTCGTGTCGTGCTAGTATTTGAGTCATGTGTCATAGTTAGGTTTTGCTTTTTCTATCTTCACTTGAGTCTTTGAGTCGTTTATTCTTTGCCGAGTCGCATTCGTGTACTCTCTATCCTTCATCATATTAATAAAAGAGAGTTGAGTTTTGATCATTCAATTGTGCTTGTAAAAATCCATGTGTGACCTAATAAAAACAATAAAAGCTTTAGTAATTCAATAGAGCAAGAAGATAGTGTAAATTGCTTAATGTTCTTATAAGAATGAAATTTCACCAATAAGCTCGAGTGTTGAGAAGGATCCCTCAAATGGTCTAAACAAATTATGATTTGTCCTCACAAGATTGTTTGTGAACTTTCAAACAAAATTTTCAAGAAGATTTTTTTACAGGCTTACAAGGATAAATTCATAATTATGCATGATATTCAACACTATTTTGGGATTTCACCTTACATTCAAGTACCTATTTTGGCAAACACAACGGTACATCCAAACCTCACAACAATAGATTTCCTCTCCAAGGCATTTTTTATTTTACTTCTTGTTAGAAAAAAAAAAATTCACCATCAAGTTAGGACCATCCATTGAATAAAATCCGGTGAATTGTGAGGAATAAGACTTTTGCCATCAACATTTGAAAAAGGTAATGTGAGATATCGTTTCTAGATGGAGAAACGAGAATGACCAACCTTTCAAAAAGCCATCATGTTCGGGTGCACAATTCGATAAGGCACTAAGTTTAAACCAAGGTGAAACAAGTTAGACTGCTAGGGTAAGGACAATAGTTGATAACATTCATTAAAACTATTATAAACACTACCCTTGAGAGAGTCGTTGGGCTAAAAACTAGAAAGGGTGACCCTAGGCAAAACTTAGAGTATGGAAAAATGAAAAATGAAAGAATGAGTGCTCGCAAGGCTGAAAACTTGAAAATGGTGACCTTGACAAAAGTTAGAGTAAAAAAAAAGAGTGTTAATACCTAAGTGAACCTAATCGGAACTACGTCTAGCCTTATTCTTACCTTGAGATACATAAGTAACCTCTCATTGAGGTTCGACCCCATGTCCTTACCCAATCCACATCCTTAGTTTTGCAGGCATTCATGAGCTACAATTACCATCATGCATAACATGTTTTGTTTGGGATTAAAAAGGGCTAGTTTGAATTAGTAGGGGAAGTAACTTTTACCACTGGAACTTATCAATGGTATTTCTAACTTGAACCCAAAAGGATACCTCTCTTTGAGGTTCAACCCCATGTCCTTACCTAATTCACATCCTTAATTTTGCAGTCATTCATGAGCTACAATCACCGTCATGCATAACATGTTTTGTGTGGGATTAAAGACGGGCTAGTTTGAATCAGTAAAGGAAGCAACTGTATCACTTGAACTTATCAATGGTATTTCTAACTTGAGCCCAAAAGGAAATGAAACTTGATTTTTTGCAAAATTGCATTTCGAAAGCAATTCTTGAATAATAAGGAAGCATAAGGAAAGCTAGGGGCACAATGAATGATCATTTAGTTTGAGTTTTTGTCTTTTTTCTTTGGCACTTGGTTTAATTGCTAGTTACCTTGTTGCTTTGTATTGTAGGTGCGTCATCCTGCTATTTCGCATCATGAGTGTGTCATAGTTCGCATTCCTTTTAATTGCCTACATCGAGTCTTGTCGTGTCTCTCAAATTGCACTTAGTTTCAACCATCAGAAGAAGACCAACATTGTCAGTCGCCTCAATTGGAGAATCTTTTATCCAAAAGATTACATTACTTGTCAGTTGTTGCGGTGCCAAACTTTTGCAAAATTCTTGTCAATACCACTTTTTTTTTTTGGAAACTATTCGTTCAATACAATGTAAAACCCCAAAATATGGGTATGTGAGCAAAAGAAAAGAGAGGTGTTAGATGAGTGAAAAGTGAGGAATTTACATCAAACTGAAAAAGAGCAGAAATGAAGTCAACTAATGCAAAAGTACCACATTACAAACCACTGTGGTCATCGCCATAGAGAAAGAGCTATATCGGCAAGTACAACCATTTTGAAAGATGGAGTAGAACAATACCCAGCGCATTGGAAGGCTATCAATGCTGTAGAATGCTAGAAATAGTTTTGT